CGAAACCTGCGGCAACCAAACGAACAGGGCACATGTCTCTGTGGGCTTGGATGAACAGATTTGTGACTATGGCAGGTTAGTAAGGGTTTAGGGAAAATAATTAGTATTATAAAATCGTCATAAACTTGAAGAATCTTGAATTCAATCCTGGAACTTCTTAACATTTCTTATATCTGCGACTGCAATCTACCTTCCACAAAAAAAAAAAAAAAATATATATATATATAAGCCATGACAGAAACAAACGGAAGAAGACATAAAACTATGTATCTGTCCCTCTAACAAACAATACATCAAATCTTTGGCTCTACTTGCTTTTGCAGAGAAATAAATAACACATTGTTTGCTTGGAAAAAATAATTCATCTTCTTCCAAACCTTCAGCAACAGTAAGCTGTTTGCTACCAACATACACGTTCTAAACTCTTGAGGAAAGTGCTCTGCAAACCAACCCACAACTTTTGATCAGACGTGAAACCATAAACAAAGACACAGCGTTATAGTTTCCTACGAGTGAGCTAGAGAACAAGAAATGTTTCTTAAAAAGCAGAGTAAATACACAAACGGGTTGCCGACTACTTCATGCTGTCACTGAGAAACATGCTTCAGCCTTCAGAACCTATGACTATTAGTGCAGCAATATATAATGATCTGAACTTACTACAGTTTGTTTGATTGATTGTTCTTAAACTTCCTAGAGAACCAGAGCAAAGTTCTACAATTAAGTTGCACTGTTCAAACAACAAAGCCCACATCTTTGGCAGTAAACTCAAACCAATATCTATGGACTGTGAATCTGTTATTCTCCAAAGCTAGAGCATGTGATAAAGCAGATATACAATTTACCTTAATTGTCACTATCTTGCAACAGGTTTTTGAAGCAAAGCCGTCAAGAAAACTTCACCATGCTTCGAATCAACTTTATTGGCCACCGCCCATTTCACCTTCTTGTAACCCAACTTCCCAATCATAGGCGCAAACACATTATCAAGATCCACTCTCTTGCTAAAAAACCGGTCCAACCAAAGATAACCACCGCCTCTCAGAACCCGGTCCAAATCAAACAAGAAAAACTCCATAACCGTAACCGGAATCCACCGGTTCACCGCTCTCCCACACCTAACCAAATCCACCACACCGTCAAACACCGGAAGCCTCTGCTGGAGAGGCACGTGGAGCGGCACGAGCCCTCTCAACGCCACCGCCTCGCTATACGGCGCGTTGAAATTCATCGTCGTGGTCAGAACAGTAACATTGCGTGCCTTCATAGCCGCGGCGAAGGATCCGGTCCCACCGCCGACGTCGATCCCGAGCCGGAGAACGGAGTTGGCGGCTTTAGCGATCTGGAGAAGCTGCGAGATCGGGAGATCGAGCTCGGACTTGTAGGAAGAGAATAAAGATTTGGATTTGTCGAGGGAGAGATCGAAACCTAGACCGGGGAACTTGGTCGTCAAGCAATCGAACGTCTTGCAGGAGTAGTAAGACCAGATAACATTCGAATCTGAGGGATTTCGCGGCGTACGGGAGAAGCAACGACGGCGAGGGAGCGGGTGGCAGCCGCGGAGGATGAGTTTCTCGACGAGGTCGTTGTCGGAAGGACAAGTGGAGAAAGGAGTGTAGTTCATGTACTCGTGGAGGAGGTCTGGGTGGTTGTGGCAAGCGGAAGCTATGGGGGAGAGTTTAGAGTAGAGGAGGAGATCTTTGGGCGGCGCGGAGGAGGAGACGGTTGATGTGGGTTTGTCTGGTTGGTGGGTTGTGAGGTGGTTGATGGCGGAGCGGATAGTGTGGAGCTGACGGAGGAGGTGGTTGGGGACGGTGGGGAGAGAGGAGGGTGAGGATTTGAGGGTGGATTGGAAGAAGCTGGTGGTGGAGGAGAGGTGGTAGAGAGAGAGGATGTTGGTAGCTACCATTGCTACTAGTAGAAGTAGATTCAAGCTCATAGTGAATCCTGCCATTTCTGTAGCTCCTTGGATCTCTCTCTCTCTCTCTTAAGTTTCCTGTTTCGTCACACACAGATTCTTGTTTTTCTTTAGAGAGAGAATCTGATTCTTGGGCTTTAATGGTGTCTTAAAGCCACGATTTTTGGGTTTTTTTTTCAGGCAGGATTCTTGGAGTTAGTGACACTTAAGTAAGATAAGCTTTTCATCAAAGAGGAGACTTTCTATTTTTTGAAGTCAAAATCTTGTAGTAGTAGGTTTACAAACGGAGATCTGATCTGGGCGTACGTAATTAATTTACAATGGAAAAAGGCATTTATTCGGATCCAGTGTCATTATTGATTTCCTAAAATTTGGATGAAAAAAGTATTTAATCCTCTGGTGAGAAGTTGTAATTAGAATCATCTTTAAGGCACGTAGAGAAATTTAACACATCTGTCTGTTCACATGTTTTGTCTTTTACTTACCTATTCAGACACTTTTAATTGCAATAAAATGCCTTAAAAATGATTTGTTTAAACTACTAGTATCAAACTTAATCGAGTTTGTCTACTCCAAAAACTATATGAAAATCATATTCTTACTCAGTTTAGTCCATATAATCAAATCTCAAAACTATTAGAAAGCCCAAGTGCTGCTAGTCCAAAACTATTTTTCCCCCATTTTTCTTGGTTATAGTAAGCTTTACAATCACATTTTTATGCAAGTAAAAACGTTGATAAAGGAATGAAACATTCCTTTTTCCAACGCAAAAATACCAATAGCCAAAGAAAATCAACAAAGAAAAAAATGAAAACAGAGTGCAAATAAAAGCCATATGTATATATGTTCATCAAATCATTTTGTTGTACTTGTATAGAAGTTCTGCTGCTGCATCCCTTAAATCTTCGTACTGATAACATCCATCGAAGAAGTCAGCAAGCTTCATCAGTTCTTGATCTTCCATGTCATCCACAAAAGGCCTAATATGAACACCATTATCAGGCTGCAACGAGTACGAGAAAGGGTTATCATCAACTAGCAAAACGCTCCCGAGGTCTCTCCTCGCCACCAGTGATAAGTCTTTGACATATCTCCCATTCACTTCTGTGCATGAATCTCTATACAGCCGCTGTGAGATCACACGGTTCTTGTCAAGTTTATCCAAAACCTGTGAAGCATAATCAGGCAAACCAGCTGTGAAAACCGCCACTCGGTAATCTTTACCGATCCTTTCAAGAAACTCGTTAACTCCTGGTCGTTTCACGACAAACATCGGTGTAACAACTCCTTCGATCTTTGTTCTCACCATGAAGTCGACATTAACCCGGAGAGGTGGTTCCATCGACGAGTGCACCAATGTCTCATCGAGATCAAGAAAGATCGTCCTTTTCTTCTTGTCATGACGTTTCCTCAGAGGAAGCTGGTGATGATGATGATGATGCTCGTGTTTCTTGATCTTTTTGTAGCCTTGTTTCATGGTGGCTCGGTGGCTAGGAGTTGAGCTAGTTTTGGTGGATAGACGGAAAAGCCTGGAGACGCAACGCAAGAGGCGGTTGTGGAATGTGAAGATTGACATGTTGAGGGATCTCAAGATGGAGCCAGCTGCTGCTGCCGAACATGTTGATTGTTGACGTTGATGCAGGTTCCTCCTTCCATGTTTATGACGTCCATGAGATCTCTGTTTTGGTTTGTCTATAAAACCATGGCACACCATTATCAGAGTTAATCAGATTCCTGTGTTTATTTTTTGTTCTTGGAAACTTGGAAAAATGGTGATATGTATATAAAGCTCTAATGGTTTTAACTATCAACTTCCATGCCATTGGCTTTGGAACTGAAAGGAACTTGATTTGTTATTAGTTTAGTTTGTTCAGGTTTGTGATTAGAGGCTCTGAGTTAATTTTAGCAAAATAATAGTTTTGGAAGCTGACACATATTTGAGTTCTGATAGAGGCCATGTGTTCTCTCAATGGAGACAGTTGAGAAAAGTGTTTCAACTAATAGAGGTTGAGAGATTTTCATGGGATTACAGTTAAAGTAAATGACTCCTCAGTGCTTATTAACTTAGTGTGATATAAGACTAAAATAGCCTTTATACTAAAAAACTTTTAGACAACGAAACTTTACTATATATATCTTTAATTAATAAAATGAAATGAACATTGGTTTCAGTTATTCTCCTCTCTGATATTAATACACATTTTCAACACTCGTTATAAAGAACAAACCAAGAACCAAACCATATATAAGATTTACAATTTACTCTCAGGAGCTGAAGTTAACAGGAAGTGAAAGTACTGTTTCAGAGTGTTACAAAACATGATGTACACCAACTATTGCTTCATCATCATCATCATCATCTACTTTGAAGCCGGTGTGTCTCTACGTTGTGTTCTTGGGATGATGAGAGATCTGCAACAAACCAACGCGAAAAGCAATTCCGTAAAGAACAGGCTCATGCTGATCCAGACGAACAAAGTCCTCCGCCATTTCCAAATAACTTGCTTCAAGAAAGGAAGATCTGATTCAAGCGAGAGAGACGCGTCGTACAGCTCTGGAATACCTGCCCCTGGTCGAAACTCTGCACGCTGTTCGATCATTACCTTTAAACAAGCAGTGGGGGTGTCCTTCTCTGCAAAGCCTTTCAACTTCAACCTCAAGGTTTGGATCTCAGAGACATATCCTGTCACTAACGGAACTACTTTCAAAAATGTCTGGACAAGACGGATAGGCTCGCTTCTGAATCTTAACATGCATGGACGCCTTATGGTATCAAGCGTTTGACCATCCGCAGATAAGAAATCAACCCGAACCTTCACGAAAAAAACACATGATCCCATTATCAAAAATATGAATGGACAACCATAAGCAATATTATTTAGAATGTTAGATAACGCCCAATACCTGAAACATGCCGAGGTTTTTATTGTAATAGGACTCAGGTAACGTCAACGAAAGGGTGATCTCTAACTTGTGGCCACGAGGGATAGCTCGCAGTCCCCTGATCTTTATCATCTCATTACTCTCCTTACAGCTCCCATCGCAAGCAACACCAGCACATGACGTTATGGGCACAAACGCCTCAGGACTATTCTTGGTGTAATCGAAATTCAAAACCTCCTTGATCACAAACGGCTGATCGGCTACACGGTTTATCATAAACCCACCAATCACAAACGCTAAAACCAAGAGACCAAACAACATAACGCCTACATAAGCAGCCCTAAACAAACCCCATCCAAACTTACACGCAACATTCACCGTAGGTTTGGTCTCTTTGAACTTAAAAGTAGTTCCCATTAACATTTCAGTAAAGAGGGAGACTTGCGTCAGTAAGAATCGTCTGGCGAGCTTGAAAGTGGTGAAGGGGTCGAAAGGGAAGAGGAAGCACCAGCTGAGCAAGAAAGGAGGAGACTTTACAAGTCTGGTCATCAAATTGAATTGAAATTCGATTGCTTTGAACACTAGAGACCCGAGGAGAGACCCATCTGTTCGATTACGTTCTTGGAGCTGCGACGGTGGTGGAGATACTGCATCGATTACGGTGGATTCTTCGCTTTCCTGAACCGGGTCAGCCCGGACCCGAACCGAATCGGGTACAACTCCATTCATATCCATAATCACAACCAATTCGGTCTCTTTTTCTGTTGAATCGATTGCGTCGCTATCTATCTCGCTTGTGAGCTCCTCCTCGCTGATTTCCAGATAGATGGGTTTCGCTGACACATTGGAGGAGGAGGAGGAAGAAGACGAGTCCGTTTCGACATCGGAGCAAATGAAATTGCGGCGAAGTGCCGACCTTCGTCGCCGGAGACCCAAGGCGGAGCGTTTACGGAGGGAATAGCGACGGGTCATTGGGATGCAAATCGTAAAAGAAATCGTCTGAGGCGTCGAGGAATGAATCGAATTCGTTGTCGTCGTCGTCGTCATGCATTGACGGTTAAGTTAGAAGAAGAAGAAGGTGACGGGTTTCAAGGTATCGGTGACGATAAGCATGATGCTTGACAAATGGCGTGACTCAACAATATTTCTCTTTAGAGTAGAACCTCTATAAATTAATACTCATAAATTAATAATCCCTATAAATTAATAAATTTTATCGGTCCCAATTTGGACAGATGTAAAATATGACACAAATCGATAAAATAATAAGATAATAATATTTTCAAAACTGCCATGTAAATATATAGTCCCATTAAAATCATAAATTAATAATCTATCTATAAATAATCTATATATAATAGCAAACTGAAAGTGACATCAACATTTTTTTATAGGAAAAAAAAAATTCAATCCAATGGTCATAATTAACTTGATTTTAAGATCTAATGAACCAAAAAAAACTTTTCATATGATTGATGATGTCATCAAATATTTGACAACTCTTCATTGAAAAGGCATATATTTCATTTTAATAACCACAATCATATTTGTCTTACTTTTTCATAAGTTTAAATATTAATATTGACTTTTTAGAAGATAATATTTATGTGTCGTGACCGAAGAGGTATGAACGTATCGTGATTCAAGAGGTACGAACATGTCGTGACCCAAGAGGTACGAATGTGTCGTAACCCAAAAGGTACAAATGTTTCATGAACCAAGAGGTACGAACGTGTCGTGACCCAAGAGGTGCGAACGTATCGAAACCGAAATGGTGCGAACGTGGCAGGACCGAAAGGGTGCGAATGTATCGGGACCGAAAGNGTGCGAACGTGTCGGTACCGAAAGGGTGCGAACGTGTCGGGACCAAAAGGGTGCGAACGTGTCGGGACCAAAAGGGTGCGAACGTGTCGGGACCGAAAGGGTGCGAACGTATTGGGACCGAAAGGGTGCGAACGGTTCGGGACCGAAAGGGTGCGAACGGTTCGGGCCCGAAATGGTGCGAACGGTTCGAGATCGAAAGGTTGCGAACGGTTCGGGACCGAAAGAGTGCGAACGGTTCGGGACCGAAAGGGTGCGAACCGTTCGGCACCGAAAGGGTGCGAACCGTTCGGCACCGAAAGGGTGCGAACGGTTCGGCACCGAAAGGGTGCGAACGGTTCGGCACCGAAAGGGTGCGAACGGTTCGGCACCGAAAGGGTGCGAACGGTTCGGCACCGAAAGGGTGCGAGCGGTTCGGCACCGAAAGGGTGCGAACGGTTGGGCACCGAAAGGATGCGAACGGTTCGGCACCGAAAGGGTGCGAGTTGTTCAGGATCGAAAAGGTGCGAACGGTTCGGCACCGAAAGGGTGCGAGTAGTTCAGGATCGAAAAGGTGTGAATGTAACGTCACCGAAAAGGTGCAAATGGAACGTCACCGAAAGGGTGCGAATGTAACATCACCAAAATGGTGAGAATGTAACGTCATCAAAAAGGTGTGAAGATAACATCACCGAAAGGGTGCGAACATAATGTTACCAAAAGTGAACGAACATAATATCATTGATACTTATAGATGCAAGTCATTAGAGTTAAGGCCGAGCCATCATGAGTGGTAAACATATTGTTCATGGTCGGTTGCTATGGACTATGATCCATGATATGGATCGATGGCTCAAAAAGAAGTGTATATGAAACAGCCTTAAAGTTTTATTGTACNTACACACCTATAGAAATGAATATACAATCCAAGGTGTATTGTGTTAAACAAATTATGGAACCACTTTATAAAGTTTGTATGCCAAATTTAAATGCAAACCATTTTTAAAATTAAATATAAAAATAATCAGAGAAGGTTAATTATTTATTTGTTTCCTTAAAAGACACTTTTAAGGGTATTTAACAAATCATAAAATATAATTTTCAAATATATTCCACATTTCATTTTATTTGGCATTCGCAACCTTTCACATTAATTAAGATTTTTATTAAGATACACAACTTTTTATTTTATTTGGCATCACAATCTTTAGAATTAATTGAGATTTTTGTTAAGATACAGAGCCTTTCATTTTATTTATTAAGAAACACAACTTTTCATTTTATTTTTTTTAAAGAGGCACAACTTTCCATTTTATTTTGCCTTTACAATATTTCACATTAATTGGCATTTTTATTAAGATACACAACTTTAGAATTAATTGGTATTTTTATTAAGACACACAACCTTTCATTTTATTTATAAAGTGACACAGCTTTTCATTTTATTTTATTAGAGACACAATCTTTCATTTTATTTATTAAGAGAAACAACTTTCATTTTATTTTACATTTACAACATTTCACATTAATTGATATTTTTATTAAGAGTCACAAGCTTTCATCTTGATTGACATTCACTTTCATCTTGTTTGACATTCACAACTTTTAGAATTAATTGGGATTTTTTATCAAGGTACACAATTTTTATTTTATTTGACATTCACAACCTTTAGAACTAGTTGTGATTTTTATTAAGAGACAACCTATAATTTTATTTACTAAGAGACACAATCTTTCAGTTATTTCTTTAAAGAGACACAACTTTTCATTTTATTTTGTATTTTCAACCTTTCACACTAATAGAAATTTTTATTAAGAGTCTCAGTTTTTTTTATTTGGCATTCACAGACTTTTAAATTAATCAAGATTGTTATAATTAGTAGATTTTTATTATGAGAAGACACAACTCTTATAACTATTTTAAATAGTTTTAAATTATTTTTTTCTGAGACACAATTGTTTTTATAATGAAAAGATGCAACTTTTAAACTAATATATTTCATTTTTAATGAAGAGATATAACCTTTCAAAAATTGTTATTATGAGAAGACACAATTCTTACAACCTCTTTTAAATATTTATATAATATTTTTTATGAGACACAAACTTTTTTTATAATGAAAAGATAGAATTTTTAAAATAGTAGAAATTATTTTATAAAAAGACACAATTCTATTTATAATAAAATCAACTTTTAAACTAATATATTTCAGTTCTTATGAAAAGATACACAACCTTTAAAACTAATATATTTCAGTTCTTTAAATAGACACAACTTTTCATTTTATTTTGTATTTTCAACCTTTCACACTAATAGACATTTTTATTAAGAGTCTCAATTTTCTTTTTATTCGGCATTCACAGCCTTTAAAATTAATCAAGATTGT